CAGTCCTAAGTGCTGTGCCTACAAGGAGAGAGTTATTAATAGGATGGGGAGAGGGGAAGAAAACGTATGTGAAGGAGAAGGAAGGGAGGCGTCAGCAGTAGCCTGTTTTCGCTTACCCGCCCTGTTGTATGCAGCAAGTAAGGCGACCCGGCTGATGGCACCACGCGACGGCCGATGTGGCATGAGAATATTGTTAGTTGTGTTAGTTGTGAACAAACTTGTTCGTATCCAGCAATCCGAAGTTATCTAGCCAGTAAACCATTCAGCTTGGGTTGCTCCCATCGTCATCAAAAAGGTAAATGGCAAAGTGCATAAATGTGCTGATTAGTCCACTGCACTAAACGTTTTCTTAGACTCTCAATAATATCCATCACCGATACCAGATCTGCCCACCAACCTCATCGGTGGAAAATGCTTCGCAAAGCTGATCTCGCTGATAGCCAGTAAACCATTCAGCTTGGGTTGCTCCCATCGTCATCAAAAAGGTAAATGGCAAAGTGCATAAATGTGCTGATTAGTCCACTGCACTAAACGCTGTCTTAGACTCTCAATAATATCCATCACCGATACCAGATCTGCCCACCAACCTCATCGGTGGAAAATGCTTCGCAAAGCTGGATCTCGCTGATGCTTACCTTTCAAACAGAAGTCTCTGAATCATTTGTCGTTTGGGATAAGATCAGCAATAGCAACATTCCAACACAATGGATGCGACGCTAAAAGGTTTGTCAGCAGTTGCCACCTATTTAGATGGAATCATTCTCACAGGTTCTAGTCAAGAATTTTTGCATCGTTTACATTGTGTACTCGAGCGTAGTCAGCAATATGGTTTTCGTCGACGCGCAAAAAAGTGCGTTTTATCCCACACCCATCAAATACGTTGGATTCCTTTTTGGACGAAAGTGATCGTCATTCAGAACCACAAAATATTTCTGCCATACAACAAATGCCATCACCAACGCATTTAGCAACCTTGCATTCCTTCCTCGGTTTGGTAAGCCACTACAATGCATTTTTGCCAGACAAACATCGTGTCCGTGAACCACTAAATCATCTTTTGGTCATATGAGTGCCACAAGAGTGTCACATAAGTGCTACTCACACACTTCAATCCAGCCCTGGACATTGCTGTTGTTTCAGACGCATCAAACTAAGGTATTAGAACTGCCATCGCTCACCATTTTCCTGACGGAATCGAAAAAGCAACCGCTCACGCAGCCAGACCCTTAGCGGTTACCGAGCGAAATTATGGTAAGATTGAAAAAGGTTTAGCGATAATTTTCGCCATAAGGAAGTTCCATAAAATACTCATTTTACTCCCGTCACTGACCACAATCCGCTTCTAGGCGTCCCTATTTACACAGCCAACCATTTGGAAGGTTGAGCTACAGTGCTTTTGGGCCACGAATTCTCTATCAAATACCAGTCGATTGATGCTACTGGCCAAGTTGACACATTATCAAGACTCATGGATTGTCAACGTCAACAACCCCGGGATGTTGTTTTTGCTTCAATAACGGTGGAGCCAGAAGTTAACGCGATGCTTGCTACTATCATCCGTGAGCTTCCAATTACTTAACACGGTTTACGATGCCAATGCTTCAAAAGGTACCCCAATTCCACCGCACACACAGTATGTTCCGAAAAACAACCGTTCTACCAACGTCGGTCCTCACTTTTCGCGGTTGATGGTTGTATACTTCGCAGAATGGGTGATTGTTCCCTGAATTACAAAGAAAACAACCGTTCTACCAACGTCGGTCCTCACTTTTCGCGGTTGATGGTTGTATACTTCGAAGAATGGGTGATTGTTCCCTGGAATTACAAAGCAATGTCTTCAAACAATTTCATTTTGAAGGCGCTAACATGCAGTTACGTCCACTGGCCATACATGGATAGGTAGTTAGGGCTTGTACGCGAGTGCTCAAAATACCAACTATCAGCAAAATCCTCTTGGAAAACAGGATTATCTTCATGGCCCATCCCATAAAAGTTCATGGTAACGACTTTATGTTGACTTTGCGGGACAAATCAATGGCCAACATCTGATTCTAGCAGATGTCTACAGTAGGTAGCCACAAGGATTTATTATGAACTATCGTTTCAAAACCACATGTATTTAGCTGTTTTGGAGTTCCGAATGTCGGTGTCTCTGAAAACAGCCGTGCATTCACGTTCGCTGAATGTTATGTTTTCTGTCAACAAAAGAGTATACACAACGTGCGATCACCGGTGTTCGATCTATAGTCACATGGCTAAGTGGGAAGATTTGTGTACATTTCCAAACGCGCACTCTTAAAACTCAAAGGTGGGGGGATTATGCTGAAAATCATCAGACATTTCTGCTAAGTTACAGGGCGACACCAAACGTTAACGCTCAAAATGGCTATACTCCGGTGGAAATACTTATGAACCGGAAGATCTGTTTACCGGTTGACGTAATCCGTCTGACACCGGTCAACCGGTAGAAACACAAATATGAAAGTTCAAGTCAACTGACATCACGATGCTGTAAGTGATATATTTGTACCAATCTTTGCTAGCAAAAGACTATTGTGGCGTGGACACACGGTGTAGCTGTGTGCCGTGTGGAAAAGTTGTCTATGGAGTAAAAGTAGGCTCCTCCATCTAGGTCGGTCATGCCAATCAGTTACGTTTTTCCTCTCTTCCATTAACAGCTGCCCCCGAACCTGTTTTTCGGCTTGAGATTTTTCTCGATACATTTAAATCACCTCAAAAGCCCCAATCGCCCCAGCTGATGATTGAACCAACACTTTCAAAAAGTTGCACACTTAGAAGATGGACGGATCGAATACGAAAGCACGCCATGCCAATGCAAATGAACCCAAAACAGCAGTGTTAGGGAGACTGCCTCCAGACGACCAAATCCATTTTTCTAATACTACCTTGTAGACTGGAATATTGTTTTCTTCATTTCAGCCCTTAATTGATATGCCATTGGACAGTTTGCTTTTCTACATTCTGGTTCGCTTGAATCCATAACACAGAACGGTTCAGTTGTTTCCAGTACAACTTCTTCAGGGTCGTCCGTCTTCTCGATCCTGGCGCAACTGACATGTCTGACTGATGCTCAGTAGAAATCATAACAATGGGACCCGAAGTGCCATGAAAACCGCCTTTCATGGTGCCAGCTACATTCAATCGATTTTTAGGCAGACAAGACAAACGGATAGCTCGAGTCTTCGTTGACAAGTACTAAGATTTGGTCGGAGCACTTTGACACACCAATGAGGATAGTCCACAATGACTTATGGGATAAAGTCGAACGTGGTGCGTGGGCCGGCCTGGAATTGGACCCGATGTTCCGGGAGTCAATGTAGAGTGAGAAATTAAACCCAATAAGTTCTCCGACGGCAGGAGCCACCTATCATCACGACATCTCATACGTTGGAAAATCGCTGGATACTGACTTCCTCATGATTTCTACGAACCGTTTTGTCACCTTTCTTAGGGAGGGGGAGCAAAATCGAGATACGTCAGTCCAAAAGGAAAGAATCTGTCAAGAAATTACTGTTCTCAGTCTGGCCTACGAGGGTAAACCGTGGTCCATTCTGTCACTGAAGCATTATGAGATCTCCAGAAGCCCATGGTAAACACTGGATGGACCGCCAACGACCTCCAAGTATTCAGTTGGATCGAACTGTATAATTTCGTTATACTGATAGCCCCAGTAAATAAAACCGCTGCAAAAACCTGGGCGAAACGTGAGCAAAGGTTGTGCAATCTTTGGCTTTGAAACAAAGCACAATTTTGGATGGCGTCGTCAGGCATTTCGAACACTCAGTTAAGATCCTTACCGCGTTCTCTAGTTGGCACGAATTCAACAGAATTTGATGTCATCATCATCGACAGTATGACATCAGTGTTCAACACCGATGCTTCACTGCCGTATTTATTTTCAATGAACGGCTTCCGGGTCATTCGATTCACACTTGCCGGTAATTAAGCGCGCGTTTTCAATTCATATATTCCAAGGAAACGGTCGTTGACTTGCTGCTTGTCTAAATTTTCTCCTCTGAATGAGCCATTCAAAGTGTCGTGATAAGGTTAAGGTTGGTTTTCCGAGCCAGTAGGACGTCTTCTGCAGGCGGTAGTATGAAACCCCGTGGGGTTGTGATCATGAAAAACTGGCGACAGACGAATGTCTCAATTTATCTGTTGACTAGGCTCAGGCCAGTTTCCATTCGGAGGACGTACCTGAGAGACATCGGAGGCCGACTCAAGGGAAATAAGTTTATGCTAATCACGAGAAACAGCATCTGTTAAATGTCATTTGTGTTCGAATGATATGCAGGAGTACTGGGAAAGCCGAAAACAAATGAGGATTAATCAGCGGGTTTCTGAAACTGTGAAGGTAAACAACACACTGACAGAAGCATAATGTGAGCTTTGACCGAAAGTTTTTCATAAGCTTCCAGGTCTCAGTAATGTGGAAAAATGGGAACAGTGAAATTGAGAACTAAACTTACCGTTTGGCATTATCATGACCGAAACAAACAAAAATATGACGAGCACTGCCAGGAAACCATGGAACAAGTTTTGCTCAAGGGAAAAGGAGCTGGATCTAAAAAGAATATTCGGCAGACGCAGGTACGTACCGGTAGCACGCTACGGCAGCCAAACCGAGCCATATACATGCAAGCACTGTCAAGCTTCGTGATTGATAGAATGCGCTGATGGTTATATTTTCAACTTTATGCTGCTCGATATTTGAAAGGAAATAATCCTTTTCAATCTGGGATTCTGAAAAGAGTCTCCGACGCATTTTGAGCGGAAAACAATTCGCCGCGTCAGACAAGACGAGTCGTGAGGACGAACCGGCGGGACGTTCAAAACGGCGCCAAATTTCGAAACGTGAGTTCATTTTGATAGGCCGGTTGTGTTCGGCAAGGTCGGAGGAACGCCCCACTATGTGGCTAGTGTCCATCCACTTTGCGTCATGCAAGGAACCGATTGTATCCATTCACCATTGCACTTAAGTAACCCATATTGCTCGCAAGCATGGTATTGTTTACTTGCGCGAATTAATGCACGTTTGAAATCGTTTCGTTTTATCCTGGTGCAAAATTGTGAAAGAATTCTTTCACTGTTCAATCTACTTACAGAGTTCACACGTGTCGTTTTGTTGAATTTTTCACGCTGACATGATAGTTAGTGACAGCCTCTGTCATTTCGCAATCAGTGTCTGCGGTACAATCAGTCTCAACCATGAACCAAATCAATACAGGCTGCTAATTGCAGCCATCAATGGACCACAACAGATGTGAGCGAATTGGATGTCCATCGAATGTAATGCGTGTTATACCTGCAGGTCTGGTGGCACTTTAAACGCATAGGTTGAAAGGAAGACCAGGTAAGCTAACTACCTAACTCTCTTGACCCGTTTGTTTGCGCTAACTACTTCTATATTAATGGTGCAATGCATTCCACAACTAAAACGAGGGCCACCAAAATGGAAACAAATCCCCACCGCCAGATCAGAAAGACCAGTGTAAATGCTTCGCTTTAATCGGGATACTCAACGCGAAACTAGAGGTTCTTTCCAAAGCTACGGGGGACAGGAACACCAAAAACATAGGGGCCTGGACGGTAGTTGGTGACATTCTTCGCTGAACGAGTACCTTGCGCTTTCCATGCCGGATACACTGGCCACGAATAAGGTCAACCAGATCTCCGATGTGGCAATAAAAACGCATACGGTATCTTTAGTGACCAGGCGCATAAGAAAGAGCAGGTAGATCATATGCCGATCATTCTCCAAAAAATCATGCCACCGAAGCAGGTACAGTTGCCCCTCGGTGTTGTCCTCACAAGCACGAACACTAATCATTTCACGCAGATTGTTTAGGCAAGAAGTAAAGCGAGTGAAAACTTAAGCTTCCGGTCACACATTTATAAAGGGGAACTCGGAGCGGACTGTCAGCATACTAAAGGCCTACCCACAGATCAGGCATATATCTGAGGATCACCCCCGAGAGTGGTGCGTTTTATAATTTATTTTGCTTCCATTATAACATAACGTGTTTCGTCAATTGCATAATCGTTTTTTGGTTTGAATACGAAAAACTACAAAAACGCGCACTTGTACAACTTCATAGAAAACAAGCGTGGTCACGTGCTCAAGATCTCTCTTGTGATTTCGGTCGCGCTTGCAGCGGCTATTCGAGGGTCTCATGTACTGACTCTGGTATTAAAACATTTCAGACCATCTTCGAAATCTATTTTATTTGGTAACTGTTCAGAAGAAGACCACTGGACCAACATGATTGGATTATTGTTTATTCGCTGACCTGGGCCAGCGAGGAACTATTTTAAAAAGAACATTTGTTAGTGAGTCTGTTCCATCTGACCTCTTTATTATTGTATACACAACCTAGCATTATTATTATGTTTCTTTGCCACACACTTGATAAACCAACTTATTGGGTAACAAGACCACTACAAGAGTCGTAAATTTGCGCCGCAGCAGTTCCAGGGGAGAGGTGCGAAACAGTTTTTAGCACGACGCCATTTCAGCCGATCCCAATTTTGTGGCCAAACCTAGGGTCGTTCGGTACCTTGTACTCCTGAAAGCACGCCGGCGCGACCGGCAACCACTCTGGATTTCAGTTCCCACTCAACCACCGCAGAGCACTCGATTACCAAATATGCAATGGTTTTGGGGAAGCAAGGGAAGCCATCATCACTCATTTCCGTAGCAGACGATGAAGGCGCAGCGGTGAACTCTCAACTTCTGAGCTGGACTGGATCAGACTTAAGGAGAAAAGCGGCAAAGCCTACTGATAAATCAACCATGAATGACGACCCCAACATCAGGAAAGTCTTCGAAAACCCTCCAACAGCTGAGAAAGCGAAGTTGACGTTCTCCGGCTCCACTCCGTCAAAGGTTTCTTCTTCGATTAAGGACGGAGTCGTCACCCAGAACCCCGACAGTCAAAGCCGCAAACCTGACAACATCGAACCCAAAAGTCCTTCGTACACCCAGTTGACCAGGCTGATCGCGGGCGACTCGGGCGCCTACGCAAACAGAAAGGAAAGGCGATTACATTCTAACAAACCACATAAGATTCGCTAAATCAGAAAACTGCTGGCTAGCTTCAAGGTACAATCCTCTTCGAAAACGAGCCTCATGGGAGCGCCTTCAAAAGGAATACCACCAATTTCTCAGGGGCTCACAGAGACACCTTTTTGATCAAACAGTACCAAATGCCCGAAAAACCAGACACGTTAGCCACAAATACTCAGAGAACCCCAAATCTTATTGCCCCCATGGGTGGTTTTGAACGAGCTATTATTAGCAGCGGTCGAAAGCTTCGCCCACGAGGCGGGAACTTTGTCCCACAGAAGTAAAAGGTCCGTGCAAACGGGTCTCTCATGGGGCCTTAAAAACCCCCAAATAAAAGGTAGCTCATGAAATGACCAAAACAGGATGCAGACAAATGTGCCGCAGAGGCGCTCTCGGATCCTTGGACTCAAAACCTGGGCGCAGCCAATAAATGTGCAATCCTATCCAGTTGCACAACTCTCGGCGCCTCACCTTCGGAGGCAGCAGAGACAGCATTGAAATACTTGTACCCAAACCGACTCATCCTTTTCAACAAACCTTGTGACACTAACCAGTCAGTTTGCCCTAAACAGCAGTCCTTAACCACACTCATATAGACCTGGCTCACACCAGATGCTTCTGGCGCGGAGATATCGATTGACGGCTCTCTGTTTTCCTGACTGACCGAAACAAGAGAGGACTGATGGGGTTGGTTTATAGTTAAATCCGGCTCTGCCCATCCCGATTATCCTCCCTTGTACCGCTTTTTGCAGCTTTTGCGATTCAATGTGGATTCACGGGCTGTGGATGCACGGGCTTCACTCTCTCCCCCGATGTCGTCTACAATTGCGCTTCGAGTCCTCTGGAAGACAGCCACTTCCTCATGCAGACAGTTGAGCAACTCCCCTTCAACCCCACTTCACTCTCTCTTGCTTGTAGGTGATTTCAGCGCTCCAAAAATCTCCTGGATGGCGCTCTAGCGCTTTGGATCAAGAAAGCATTTTGCAGTGGCGCTAACCGGGGTGGTTCAACTGAGCTGTTAGACTAAACGTATCGTTGCGCCCACCAGATACCGCGCTCGCCAACTTACTATCCTTTCTGGATGTGGGCATCACCAAAAGGACACTTCATTTATTAGGTAATAACTAACGCTCCATTGTGAGTTAGAGGCCACTGCGTGCTTATCTTTGACTTCACCTGCTCCTGGGCCAGAAATACCGAAACTCGATTGCGCATTCGAAACTCCAGCAATGCAGACTTCTCAGCAAGGTGCATGCTTTGTGGACAGGTCAACCTGGGACCAACTTCCGTCGGGAACATATGTAAGACCATTGTTCGAAAGGCTCCGAGGTTCACGTGATGTCTGCCCCCAAAAAACCAGCACACACTCGGGTGGATCGCTAGTTCCGAAAAGGACTCGACGTCCTCTTGCGAAGAGGTCTCGACAATTTTTCAAATGTTTGAACTACGGGAGGCAC